AACCACCCCTTAACCACCAAATCACCAATCTAAACCACCAATCTAAACGCGACAGCTGAGGTCTGCTTTCAGGGCAGGTAAGTTTGCCTGGGGCCCCGAAACGCCATCTTGGCTTGGTCAAACGGCATATGTGGCCCGTTTTTACCCGCACGGTTGCTTTTTTTCTCGGTCACTTGCCTCAGATGCCCAGTGGCCGCTGGGACAAATAAGGGCGTCCATTTTTGGTTGTTTGAGTTTCAAACAATCGGAACCCGTCCCCCCCCAAAAAAGTTGAACAAGTTTGCAGGAATCGGAACCCTTCCCAACAAAAGGTTGAACCAAAGGGGCGGAATCCACTCCCAAAGGGTCCAAGTACTTTGTAAGGACGTACTTAGACCCCTTTTGACCCCCCAAAGCCATCCTCAGGTAATCTTGGTTGATGTTGGAAAGGGAGCAAACATTAGAATGTTAGCAGTTCAGTGGATTTGGATTTCAACCACTAAACCACAATAAGCAACAATGTGTCCAATGTTTCCCAACGACAACCATGTAATTGGAATCTCTGGGACTGGGCTGGGAGAGTCCGCCCGTCTCCTGCCAGCCGAGGCGCAGCGAGAGCCGGCCCGGCGCCACCCGCTCGTCCGTTGAAGCGGTCGAGGCGAAGTCGGCGGCGAGGCGCTGCAGCAGGGCCCAGATGGTGGTCCTGAAGCCAGTTCTCTCCTAGTTGGCTGTGGCTCAAAAAACCGGTACCAAAATAGAACCCTGGTAAGTGAAAACATGGAAAACCTGCGGTTTGCCCCTCCTGCTTAATTTTGAGCAGCACCCAGTTGAAAGGAAACCCAAAGGAAACAAAAAGGCAACCCAACAATGCACCTCTCTTCCTGAGTTGATTGGCTAACTAGGTCCTCCAGAGAGGTTAGAATATGTTGGTACCCGATTCTTTTCCGGTAGTCTATTTGAGTAGGGGCTTGCCCTCCCAACCAAAAAAGGGGTGAGAAAGGGGCACTACTGGGGGACTTAGGTTCTCTACTCACTTCCGAAGTGGGCACTAAAAAGTAAAACCACACTTGTTGGTCACCAAAATTGTCCAAACCCGAAAAGTGACTACAGTCCAGGAACTCAGGAAGTGGGTCTAAGGGCTGGCTCCCCATTCTCAACCATTATTTTCAAAAAGCAGCTGTTTTTGTTGCTGGAGTCAACCCCTAGCCCAATGGATCCACGGATCCAGGTAGGCAACCAACCACTTTTCCGTATTGTTCTTTTTGGGGAGGTTCTCTTGGTTTTCTACTATACCAAAAGGAGGAACCATGCTTTTTATCACCACTAGCAGAGTCTTCTCTAAAAAGTTATGGTATGAACTCCAAGACCTCAGGGAATGAGTAAAGGGGATGTCTAGACCCAAATGGCTTGGAATTGCGCCACCTCTTTCACCCAAGTTCCGGAGAACGATTTGGATTCCACTTTGTTCTGCAAGTCCACAAACATGAAACAAGGTCAATGTGCAGGGCCTACATCATGTGAGCTCGCTTTACCGAGTGGGCTCGACATCAAGTATGCAACTTGGATGCGGCCTTTGTGGGTCTGCCCTTGCAATATAGCAGCAAATTATGAAGTACTAAAAAAGTACAAGACTGTACAATGAAAAGGAATGGAGGCAACTAAATTGTCAAAACTCATTCTTTTCAAAGGGAACTGGGGGTAGAGAATTAAACCTAGCCTAATAATGGAAGCACCAGAAAGACGGAAACTAAAAAAACATAGGCATCGGCGAGTTTTTGTGCCAACAAAACTCACCGGCACCTGGGCGGCACGCGTGCTTCGAACACTGTGGCACCAGAAGGCCGCAGGATGCGCACGGGCACCAGCTCCTGCGCGCTCCACTTGGCCGCAAACAAAACGTCGGCCGTAAGGAGGTTGATAAGGTTAATTTGGGCGATTGCTTTGGTATCTGTTTGAAGGGAAGTTACGCTGCTTCGGTCAGTTTATTGAGAGAAGCCAGAGGAACACCGCCGTTTGACCGGTCGACACATATTCACCCAGCAAACGACTCCAGGCCGACCCCTGCTCACTGGCCCCCTGGGTCGTTTCTCAAGGGGCATATCCCCAGGGTGTAGTACACCCCTTTTGCCTGAGCCAGCCTCCGAGAATGAGGGCTCTGAGGTGTTTCTCTGGGTAAACTCCCTCAAAACCAAACGATGAACTTGTGTATCCACGTTGCCACGGAACCCACCCGGATCCCTTCGGAAAATCATCCTGAGAACTAAAGGGGTTATTCCCAACAGGTTGCCCCTCCTGCTCCACAAGGGATCCTCTAAATCAGTTGTTAAGTGTGTTTGTTCGCAATTGGCAACAAATGAGTGTGTCTCCTTTTTTGAAGGGGTCCACAGAATGGTTTCGGTGTTCTTCCTTGGGGTTTCCCCTGCCCAAAAACAAGGACGAGCCACCTAAGTCATGTTCTAAGAAAGTTTCCCTTTGGCTTTCCCGTGCAGACCATCCAACAAACGGATGGAGCCCTTAAAAAAAGGACGAGCCACCCAAGTCAAAGTTTCCTTTCGCTTTCCCTTTCAGACCATCCAGAAATCGGATGGTGCCCTGAACATGAAACATCAAAAAAAAAAAACGAAGAGCCCCACCAAACCGCCCCCCCAAACTTAGTGAAGGACGCGAACTCGAAACCCGGCCCCAACCCACCCAAGACCGACCCGCAACGACTCGAACACCGAAAAATCATCTTGCACATAGGTGTCCTTCTAGGGCAATAGATGGATTTCCTTCGCGGATGACTAAATCACCAGGTAAGCCAGGAATCGAAACCCATCTATTGTTCCACCAAAACGACCCCAAAAACCAAAACCACACATCAAACCCCATATTTTTCCACCAAAACCACCAAAAAGACACCAAAACCACCAAAAAGGACAGCTATGGGCTTATTTTTCAGGGGGCAGCAGCATTTCTCGAGGCACTTTATGTTGCAAAAACGAATTGAGACGACAACTATGCATCTCGCGCCTTGGGATCCACCGAGTCTTGCGCCACCGTGCCCGCGATGTCCAGCAGCCGCTTCACCAAGCCTCCGAATGCCCCGTGACCCGCGAAGGAACGGCGCTGCGAAAGCGCGAGAAACGACCCGTGAGGGCGCGGAGCTTTGTATTTTAAACATGAGCCAGTAGCAATTCTTTTGTTTAGCAACTGGAATCACCCAGAGGGGGGGTCCGAAAAAAGGTGTTGAGAAGCAACCTATGAATCCCCTGTCAGTGCGGGTAGAGCGAAACAGCCAACACATCCGTTTCACTTTCCTTCCACTTGCTGAAGCCCCCTGAAAAAAAAAGAAGCGTTTCCTTTAAAACCAAACAGGGAAAATCAGAGAAAAAAAGAAAAGAAAAAAAGAAGAAAAAAAAAACGGTTGCGCAACTGGCCCTTTCCTTCCAGACAAGGTGCTGAGCGGCGCCAGGTGCGCGATCCCGGCCAGCTGCTGCCTGGCCTCCTCCTCTGCCGACGTCTCCGGCTTCGCCATGGCGATCCGGGGCCAAGGAGTTTTTTTGGTGCGGCGGGGCGCCGGAGGCATAGCTACGAGTCTGCATGGAGATATCTATAGATATATATGCATGCTACATGTGTATATATATATTATATATGGTACCATCAAAAAAACGGATCGCAGTGGGGGGGGGGGGTAGCATATATATATATATATTATATATATATATATATGTGTAAACAAATCTATACATGTAATGATACGCTTCTGAATGAATACTAGTGAGCTTCCTTTTGGTGGGTGATGTGTGGGTCCCGTGTGAGAGCCCCCCCCCAAGAAGCTGACAGGGAAACGGCCTTGGCTTGAGGTCTGCAATGTGACAAGTGAGCTCCCTTGGTTGCTGCAGCGGCCTCTCCGCAAAAAGGTTTTGGTGGGTCCAATGGACAATTGATGCCGCACCTGGCCTGCCAAGCACCCAAGGAAAGCCGTTTGAAAGAGGTGGGCCTTTGAGTGAGAAACCCTTTGGCGACTGGTGGCCTCAAGTTACGCAACGAGTAGGGCTTTGAGCGCAAATGGGCTGAGGCTCGTGCAAGCGAAGCACGAAGCTTGGCATGAATCGCGCATGCCGCTGCCTAGGCCTGCAGGGTTGGTCCGAAGTACTGTCGGTACCCGATAGACCAAACCAAACGGAATAACGATTTCGCAAATGATTCCCTACTCCAAACATGAAAAGGGGGAACCCTATACTCAGTTGCCCAAAGGACCTGCAACTAAAAGGTTAACCTTGTGAGGCCATGACTAAATATGGAACAAAACGGAAAAACCAAAAGGTCAAAAGGTCGATTCGCTTTGAACAACTGAACAACTGAGTATACAATATACGTTTTGGGTTACAACCACGCGGAGCTCTTGGCACCCCCAACGCATAGAATGAACAAGGGGTACACAATTGCGCAACCCGTCTCCTTTCCGGCCCTGCCACAACGTAGTTCCACCCCTCTCTTTTTTTCAAATCCAGCAACACTAAGCCAATACTAACCATTTCTAAACCTATACAAACCAATACTAAGCCAGTACCGAGGCAATACTAACCAATTCTAAGCCAATACTAAACTTGGAAATGCAAGGCACACCTGACACAAATTGTTTGCTTCATCGGCTTCCCTACTGAGTCCCGCACATTAGTTGGCGGGGGGGGCCTTTTCCTCAGTGACCCACATTGAAAGTAGACAGCGGGGGGGGGGGGGGGGTTGGAAGATCGTCATTTTCAAAAAGGCATGGTGTCCACTTCTGTTGGCAACAGAGTAACGTGCACCCAACACCAATCTCGAAGGAATCGGCTACGGGAGGTTTCAGCGCGTGGCTTCAACAATGTTTTCAGGCTGCAGCCAACAATTTGTGGTTTTGTCTGTTTCAAAGGAAGCCCACCCCCGGAAAAAAAGAAGAAGAAGAGAACGTCAAAAAAGAGCCAGCTCTCATCCATAGATTGTGCATTACGCCCTTCAACCGGGGTCCGAATTCAATGGCTAGGGCACCGCGCCCTGAGTAGGACGGAGGGGTGGACCCCCGAGTCCTGAGCAGATTATTCCCATGCACCGCCGCCCTCCCCCCGGCCCTCCCACAAAAAAGACGTCCACTTTAAGGGAGTCTCTTGGACCCTCTTTTTTTTGCTGGTGCGATAGGCAGGAATGAAAGAATGACCCTACTACACCATCTGGGGGTCCAAAATGGGTCCAAGGGCTGGCCCGATTGAACCACTCACCCACTCAACCACACCCCAGCCTCCGGGCGCCAGGTGCGCATATGCTAGCTGCACCTGACACGTGGATACGTGGATTCGGCCGAGGCCTTGATTGAGCTTCCCTCTTGGTTTGGCTTGGCTGCGAGTGGTGTCAAGTTGCCCTGTGCCAAGACCAGCGGTCAATTCCCACTTGCAGGCCACACCATCAAAACGAGGAGACCGGATTACGGTGATTTCAAGGCTACACTACCCCCGAAACAAACGAATGCTTCATATGGATTTAGCCTATAAGCTGGAATTTCTGTGACTTTCACAGCCGGAAGGCCCAAGAATAGGAGGTGCCAAGATCGGCTTGGGGCTGCCCATGACCGTAATGAAGGTTCGCACCTGGACATAGACCTAGACTTACCTGAGTTCAGCCGTCTCTTTTTGGGCGGGTGGCCGGCCACAAAAACGGGCACGCCATATGCACGGTGGATGCCCCCGACATGCTGCAAGCACACCAGCCATACTCAACCAAAACCATTCAAAGGGTTTCCTTGTTCCCTTACTTTTGCAAGTACACCAACCATACTCAACCAAAACCATTCAAAGGGTTTCCTTGTTCCCTTACTTTTGCAAGTACACCAACCATACTCAACCAAAACCATTCAAAGGGTTTCCTTGTTCCCTTACTTTTGCAAGTACACCAACCATACTCAACCAAAACCATTGAAGGGGGTCCTTGTTCCCTTACTTTTGCAAGTACACCAACCATACTCAGCCAAAACCATTCAAGGGTTTCCTTGTTCCCTTACTTTTGCAAGAATACCAACCATACTCAACCAAAACCTTTCAAAGGGATTCCTTGTTCCCTTACTTTTGCAAGTACACCAACCATACTCAACCAAAACCTTTCAAAGGGTTTCCTTGTTCCCTTACTTTTGCAAGTACACCAACCATACTCAACCAAAACCTTTCAAAGGGTTTCCTTTTTTCCCTTACTTTTGCAAGTACACCAACCATACTCAGCCAACACCTTTCAAAGGGTTTCCTTGTTCCCTTACTTTTGCAAGTACACCAACCATACTCAACCAAAACCTTTCAAAGGGTTTCCTTGTTCCCGTACTGTTGCAAGTACACCAACCATACTCAACCAAAACCTTTCAAAGGGTTTCCTTGTTCCCTTACTTTTGCAAGAATACCAACCATACTCAACCAAAACCTTTCAAAGGGTGTCCTTGTTCCCTTACTGTTGCGAGTACACCAACCATACTCATCCAAAACCTTTCAAAGGGTTTCCTTGTTCCCGTACTTTTGCAAGTACACCAACCATACTCAACCAAAACCTTTCAAAGGGTTTCCTTGTTCCCTTACTTTTGCAAGTGCACCAACCATACTCAACCAACACCTTTCAAAGGGTTTCCTTGTTCCCTTACTTTTGCAAGTACACCAACCATACTCAACCAAAACCTTTCAAAGGGTTTCCTTGTTCCCTTACTTTTGCAAGTGCACCAACCATACTCAACCAACACCTTTCAAAGGGTTTCCTTGTTCCCTTACTTTTGCAAGTACACCAACCATACTCAACCAAAACCTTTCAAAGGGTTTCCTTGTTCCCTTACGTTTGCCAGTGCACCAACCATACTCAACCAACACCTTTCAAAGGGTTTCCTTGTTCCCTTACTTTTGCAAGTACACCAACCATACTCAGCCAAAACCTTTCAAAGGGTTTCCTTGTTCCCTTACTTTTGCAAGTGCACCAACCATACTCAACCAACACCTTTCAAAGGGTTTCCTTGTTCCCTTACTTTTGCAAGAATACCAACCATACTCAACCAAAACCTTTCAAAGGGTTTCCTTGTTCCCTTACTGTTGCGAGTACACCAACCATACTCAACCAACACCTTTCAAAGGGTTTCCTTGTTCCCTTACTGTTGCGAGTACACCAACCATACTCAACCAACACCTTTCAAAGGGTTTCCTTGTTCCCTTACTGTTGCGAGTACACCAACCATACTCAACCAACACCTTTCAAAGGGTTTCCTTGTTCCCTTACTGTTGCGAGTACACCAACCATACTCATCCAAAACCATTCAAAGGGTTTCCTTGTTCCCTTACTGTTGCGAGTACACCAACCATACTCAACCAACACCTTTCAAAGGGTTTCCTTGTTCCCTTACTGTTGCGAGTACACCAACCATACTCAACCAACACCTTTCAAAGGGTTTCCTTGTTCCCTTACTTGGCAAAGAAAGAACATCCGTTTCTTCGCACATGCCGGAGGAATTCACCCCGCACCCCAAGCTGCCGGTCCCAATTCACCCCTCAGACCCGCGATGCACATCGCCTGGAGCCGCTCTTTGATGACGTCCACGGGCACGAAGATCACACAGGCCGCCGCCTGGCGAGATCTACACACCACATGTTCCTGGCTGTGGGGCTTTTTGGGGGGGGCGTGTGTGGTGAAGCAAAACTAAAAGGACAACATCACCACTGTTCAGGTTGTGGGGGGCGGGGGGGGGGTCCCCCAAAAACGCCACGCTCAAATAGGCACGTGCCTTTTCGAGAGGACTTTTTTGGGCCGGGATAGGGAAGCCAAAAGAAAAACACCCACGTTGGGGGATTTCCATATCTCGGCACATACCCAAACAAAACTTGCTGGCGATTGCCCCCTGCGCCAACCAACTAGCACCCAAAAGCAGGTCCTTGCTTCGGACGGGGGGCGTGGGTTGGGGGGAGAGAATGTTAGTTGGGGGGTGGGGGGTGGGTGGGTGACAAGTTCCTTATCCTCCATTGGCTCAAGCCCCCTGGACAAGATAATACTGTGTCAGATACTCCGAGTAGTGAAATCGATCCCCTTTAACACCAACAGGGCAAAGCCGAAACATATCCTCAAGCAAATGGGTGTTGTACCATTCCCCTTTTTCCCCATAGAATCCCAATCCCCAAGCCCAATCCCCCTCCCTGGTCTCTGGGTTGTTCCTTCTGGCCTGGCCTTCAAATCAACCAACAAGGGGTTCCCTCAAGAAGACACGGCCATCCCTGTAGCGACCCTCCCTCTGGGGGCAAGGCTTCACCTTCTTAGGCTATGAGGTTCAAGAACTGATCAAGTCCTGTTGGTTTTCTTGCACCCGTATTGCACCCGCATGCAAAAGGACCGCTTTTTCCCTGGGCGGGCAACCCAACGGGTGGGTCTCGGTTTTTGCTGAGATCTTGGGGCCAAGGTTCAACTTATTCCTGGCCCGTTGACCACGGCTAAGTTGGTTTGTTTTTTTTTGCGGTATCCCAAAAAGGGTGACGTTCCTTTGGTTTCCGAAACCAACCACAAAAAGGATACCTGGACCTTCAGGAATACCTGAGCATATCGATTAGTTTCCCTTTAAACACAACAAAAGAAGGGTATTCTGAAAAAAACCTCCCCCCCCCGCCACAAAAACACGTTCAGCTATGTCCACCTGTACCAACCATTTGCTAGGGTCGTCATTGAACTTAGTTTTGATCAAGCATAGGTGAATCCGCACAACAGCCCGCAGCCCCGAGCTCAGCATTTGAACGCGCCGCGCGCAGGTGAATCAGTGAAATATGGATGTCAGAATTGCTCCACTGACAAGGATACGAAGACAAGCCAAGGGAAACCAAACCTTGGAGGTCTTCCCTCACAAGCTCTCTCAACCGAGCAACCCCGAAAAAATGTTCGATTCTGAGCCGCGCCCCCGCAGAGCAACTCGGCTCCTCCTGTGTCCAAAGCGGCGTCCGGGCGTCCGCGTGCTCCGTCGGGTGGAATCGCCGCGAATCGCGCGCGGGTCGCTCCGCGAATCGGCGAGTCGAATCGCCAGCTACTCGTCGATGCAAAGCCCTGAGCTGCGGTTGAATGGGCAGCTCAGGGTCGAAAGGGGGGGTTGGCCCCTGAATCCGCGTTCCTCTTCGTGTTTTGGTTTGGTACGGTTCGGTGATTTTCGTTTGGCACCTTTCCCATTTGGTGACAAAAAAGAAACAGGGTTCAAAAATCCCCAAACCACAAAGTAAGGGTAGCTTCCCTGTTGGTGGTTCGGTAGGGTTATGGGATGTTATAGGGTAGCTTTCCCATTTAAAGGGTTTAAATCCCCAAACCACAAACTAAGGGTTCCCTGTCATTTTGCCCCTGGAACGCTACATCCTGCTTGATTGGAACAAAACACCACACGCCGGTGTACGCGATAATATCTTTTCGGGTCATTGCGGTCCGTGTGCCGGTGCATAACAACAACCCATGACTGAAGCGTTTGTTTGCTGGCACCGGCAGCTCTCAAGAATCACACATCCGAGTGGAGATGACATGAGGCACGGCCCAAAAACAAACCTGGATAGACGCCCTTCAATCAGGGTTCCTGCAAGGATGCAACAGTCTCTTCAACGAATAAAAAACAAAACAAAAAACATGTTTTGCACGGGATCCTCTAACTCAGCTGCCAAAGGTGAATTGACTAGCCCAATTCCCCAAAGGAACCCGAATTGAAGGCGTCCAAACTCGTTCAAACTGTCACAGCAGGAAGCCCGAAACGGAACTTCAGTGTGGCCATACCTTCGGGAGAACTTGCCAAAAGGCGAAGGGGGTCACGTGTCATGATTTAGTGCAGCCTCCCCTATGGCTTTGGGTGCCTCTTGTTTGGAGTTGGTACCCCCTTGGTGGATTTAGAGGGGAAGAGGAAACCGCACTTTGGGGCCCTACACTCGATTTCCCCCTCCAAGAGGAAACAAAACAGCACTTGAACTCCAAGGAATTTCTGCCGGGCCTGATGACAAGAGAGGCATCGCCGGGCTGGTTCCGTGCCTTTCGGTGTGGAGGTCCAGCCAGACTTCACCTCATGGCACAGCTCTAGATGCTAAATGTTCAATGTCTAGGTCCTGCAGTAGACCCCCAGACATGAACAGAACCAAAATACTAAAAAACCAAAAAAAACATGCCAAGAACAGTGAAGTTAAGCCTCCTGGACAAAGTGAAAAAACTTCCCTAGGTCCTCCAGTAGAGAGGTTAGAATAAGTTGGTACCCGATTTTGTGTTTTGTTTAGTCTATTTTAGTAGGGGAACCCTCCCCAAAAAAAGAAACGGAAAAAGGGCTCTACTGGGGGACCTAGATGTGGCTCTAGGGATTGATTTGCTTCCATTTCCTTAAGCCCCCTGTAGAACATGCAAATATGTTCAGTACTCATAGGTTCCATTTGAAACCAACAAGGGACAACATCTGAAGAACATGGAAGTTTGCCATGTCTTTTCAACCCATTGTTGCTTTCAACACCTGCCATTCTGGGCTTTCTGAAAACAAGGATCCCCGGAAGAGAGCATCGAACAGCAGCGTGATGGCAAAAAAAAACACGAACAATGTTTACGGCATATATTCCGACTGGACCACACTCGATTCCCTGTGATCCAACTTACAAACAAGGAGACACATAAACAGACCCAAGGCAACGAATCTCGGTCACACATGGTGGATGCCCCTAATATTGCAAGTGTGTCAAAGTGGGACCAACTCCAAACAAGACACACCCAAATGTGTGTGTATGTGTGTTTGTAAAAAGGGGGCCCTTTTTCACTTTACAGGAAAACCACACAACAACCCCCCCCCCCAAAAAAAAAAAAAAGACACCCCCAAACGGCCGGAGAGGTTTCTGCGGATTAAGCGGCGGATTGCCTGCTCGACCGCGTGCTCGAAGTGCAGGTGGGCAGCGGAGATTCGGCTGTCCACCTCGCAAGCCTCTGACAGGGGCTAAGCCAAGGTTGCCTTCCATTTGCTTTTCTGCCCCCCGGAAAACGAACAAAAAACAACAGTAGTGATGGATTCCAACTTGAAAACCAACAAGAGAAAAACAAAAAACATATATTCTTCAGCAAATGGAAGCTGTAGGCAATAATATTGGACCCTCTTTCCTGCGTTCCCCCCTCTGGAACAAAGGAACACCCTCAGCGGAACCCTCTTTCGTGAAAAAAAACTTTCGAGGTCTGGGCCACAATAGGAGGCCCCAATTCCAATTGGGGGTCTGATACTACACCGTCTCCCAGGTTGCCATGGCACCTGACAGCTATGGCACCTGACAGGGTTCCTCGAGGAAACTGATCCAGCAGCCTGCAGGAGCCATGGGGGAAGAGTAACACCTAGGTCCTCCAGATTTGAGAGGTTAGAATAAGTTGGCGCCCGATTTTTTTCTGTAGTCTATTTTAGTAGGGGCTTGCCCTCTCAACCAAAAAAGAAAGGGTAAAAGTTGGCACCTAGCTGGAGGACCTAGACACGTTTTCCGCACCAAGGCCTCCCACTGACTCCAGGAACAAGCCCCCCGAAGCCAAACTGGAGGCTGGCTTTAGCCCTTTCTCTCAACCTTTGTGGGGTGGGATTGGGCATTTGTTCAAAAGAAGCCTAAAAGGAAACCAACAAGGAGGGCTAAACAAAGGTTTCAACAAGTGCCCGTCTAGGCAGCGTAACGCTTGCAGGGTGCTAAATCATGCTTCTTTGCAGGGCCCCCAGACAAATTGAGAAGAACCAACACTGCATGTTGGACTTGCCAAAGGCAATCTGGCTTGTTCAAAACTGAAGGGATTCCTAGATCCGATCCTTCATGTGAAGTGGGACGTCGCTGCATCAAGAGAAATCACTACCATCTAGCATAAAGCATGGAATCTGAACAACTCATCTATCTGCAAAAACAAACGTCTGTTTACTGATATGGCTGTGGGTCAAAACCCTGTACCCCTGGTGAACATCAAAATAGGCGGTGGTAAGGTGTTCATCCGCCCCCAAACTGGAGGCATAGGCTATGGGTTATGACCCATGGCCTGCAAGCATAACTCCAAAACCTGAAGATGGCATCAAGTTCCCGCAAGCAAAGGCTGGTGTCTCTTGCAGCAGGGGAACGTGGCTCAGCAACTGCTGCACCATGTCCTGCACACATCTCGCCCCAAAGAATTCTCCGGCTGGAGAGCGGGTAGAGACATGGGGGCTGGCTTATTTAGGGCTTATTTGGGCTCCCTCTCCCTCATTCTCCCTCCCCTCACCTCCCTCATGAAGGCACAATCACAAGTCAATTGATAAACAGCAGCAGAATCCAAGTGATCAAGGGGGGGCAAGTAAGCCCATTTTCCCGCACTAGGGCCACTTGGCTTCTTGCCAAGTGGCAAAGCTGCGCGTCCGACCAACCCCGCGAAGCCCGGACCCCGTCCTCTGTGTCTTTGCGGTTTGTTGGACTTTCGGCAGCCACTACCGGCCTCGGGAAGCGGCCGGGGCAACAAGCTGAGAGAGTTATCCCTTGCAGCCCTCAACGCGTGCTTTGCGGGCAGCACGTGTCGTGTTGGACATGGTTTTTGCGTGTCCTGATGATTGACCATATCGAAACAGCGCGAAACCCGGACATATCCGGACCCCGTTCCTCTGTGTCCCCTCCCTTCCACAGCCCCCGCAACTGCATAGTAACTTGATGAAATCAAGCCTCCGTTGTTGGAATGGGATACCCACCTAACCTGATAATCAGCCAGGGGTTTATATTCATCCTGGGAATTTGCACTAGCCTCCACCCCTGAAACTTAGTTCCTCCTTTCATGGTTCTGGAAAGCACCCTTTCTGTGATACTACACTGGGATTTCATTCCCCATTCACTTTCAAGGGGATTCCCTTGATCTCCTCGGTAGGTTCTGCCCTCAAAGAAAGTCGTAACCCAAAACCCAACTTTGCCGAACCATCTCTACAATGATCTCCACACCACTTGATCCCCAGGCATTGTCTCTTTCGCTCCTTTCACCCCCGGATCGGTGAGCTCGAAAATTAAGACAGGAAGAGGAGTGTGTTTTTCGAGAACTTCCTCATTTGGGTGGATTTAAAGGGAAATCAAAAGGGAAACCACAGAAACCACATTCTTCCATTTGCTTGAGTCCCCTGGGGAGAACTATGGTATTTCCAGTAGTGATGGACTCCCTTTAAACCAACAAGTGAAAATTCACAATATCTTAAGCAAATGCAAGCATTGCATATCCACAGACAACACAGAACCATGCGTACATCCTGCTACTCCAAAATCCTACAAGCAAGCGGGTTCGGAAACATAACCTGGTCTTCGGAGAAGCTTGGGTTTCAAAAGGCATACGGCAAATACGGATTTCGTACTTTTGTACGGGTTGTGTACGGTTTTTTTTACGGGCTTCAGGAAGCAAAACTAGATTCTTCAGTTGAAAACCTAGGTTGTTCAACGAGTAGCAGGGGGCAAAACCTGTCTTTTTCTCCTCTGCCCCTCCCACCTTTTTCGGTTCTTCGGCCACCAGGATGCTCGGCCTCTGGTTTTTTCCTCCAAGGGGCAAGGCATCTCGGAGGTTCTGCGCCTCTACGCGCTCGTAGTCCTGAACCTCCAGCTCGTCAATCCTCCGTCCCAAGGGCTGCATGTGCGCTTGTAGGGAAAAAGGAGACCCAGCACTCGCGGGTTTCCGGTTGAAAGATCAAAACATGAAACACAGATGCACTCTCTCTTGGTTCCGAGTTCCTTTCGGGAAATGAAGCATGAAATGAGTGGCGCGCTTTTTGCACCCAGCATTGAACCTCCCAAATCGGGTTTGACTGGGTTCATTCTCTAAAAGGAGTCATTGAAGGGGGGGGGGGGTGAGAGATCACTTGCGGGCATAGGCGTCCTTTTAGTGGATTTCCCTGGTACATGATTAAACCACCAGGTATACCAGGAATCGCCATCTATGTTTCTATCAAAACAACCAAAAAGGACACCTATGCTTGCGGGTTTCCTGTTGAGAAATCAAAACATGAAACAAAGAAGCATTCTCTCTGGGTTCCTTTCGCGAAATCAAGCATGAAATGATTCGCGCTTTTTTGCACACAGTATGAAACCTCCTAAGTTGGGTGTGACTGGGTTCATTCTCCGATTTGCAACCAAACAAAGGTGGCCAAGTGACTACTACAAGCACCCTGCAATCGCCTCATTGTCCAGCTTCCAGAATTCCGAGTGCTGTGTGCTGTACCAAAAAGGAGTCTCTGAGCGGGGGCGGATGATTGACGAGTGCTTCCTGTGAGTACATTGTTTACCCTCTCATTTTCACCCAAGTGCGTCGGCAGCCTCGAAAGGAGCGCTCGCCCTGTCTCTCATGGCAAAATGGGTGTCTCTTTTGTGAGGGTGCCTGGTTTGAAGGGAAACCGAATGGGTAACCGTACTTTTTTGAAGGGGCCGTCTCTCAGAAGACACAACCAAACTGCACCTGGCGAAGTTGTTGCCGAGACGCTTTCGCAGTTGCGGAAGCCATCGAAGAATATTTACCTCAGGCGGCAGCGGCACGCAAAGGCGTGCAAAGGTCGAGCCTGCCGGTCTTGCGGTGGCGTGATACCGTGGATGGACGAAATCCTGCACCACTTTGACACCATGCCATTGCTTGTTGGTATTTACAGGGGAGTCATCATTCCATGGTTTTTTAGGTAGTGCAGAATTTCGTCCATCCACAGTATCACAGGCTGAAGAAGCAAGTGCAACAAGTGCGTGAGAGTGCGTGAGGAACGTGGCCCGCAGCTCATTGCTTCAATTTCCAATGGAATGTGTTCTGTTTCTTGACAAGTCTCTGAACCCCTGGCGATTTGCTCTTTGCAAGGCTCCCGAAAAAGCAACAAAAAATCAACACATACCTCCCACTCGCCCAGTGAACCCTAAGGCATCTTGGCAAATTACTCTAACTCACAGTCGCACGGTTGTGAGGTTTCCACGGGACGGCTGGAGCGGCCCCGGTGGTACCTGGGGGGATTTGAACCCGCCCAACTTGGGTGGTGCGACCAGGTCTTATGCTGCCCCCAGTACCACCGCCTATTACTCTAACTCACAGAATAGCAACAAGGAATCTCCAAGGAAACCCTTTGTTTTATCAAGCAAATAGGTTGCCTGCAGCCAGCCTCAATGACTCAAGGGCATTGGCAAACAAGCATTGGTTTTAGAGGTACGGATGCCAGTATGCCCACCAATATAAGCTTGGAAGTCAGCATGCGCCCCTCGTAAAAAGCACATGTACAAATATGTGTATTATATATATATATGTATAAAGAAATATATATATATATATATATAAATATATCAATATAGATATGTAAGTGGTATATGGCCTCCAGACCTCCAAACCCCCATACCCGAAACTGGCCCAACCTGCTAACAAGCCGCACGCAGGTTCGCCCTGCCCCGGCAGATAGGATTGTCCTGTCAGCTTTGATAGCCCCCGTGTCTAAAACGTGGCTGTCCAAATTTGAGGGTCCAATGGGCAGGGAATGAGAAATGGAATAACCATTCTGTCCCACCAAAGAAAACAAGTTGGATGGTGTATAGGGTTCATTCCATTTCTCATTAGACTTTCAGGGTCCCATCCCCATTTTTTTTTCAGCACCCAAGTTGAACCCAGTTTGGGGTTCATTCAGCCACAACCCACCGCCGTTTCCGCTTGAAATCAACGCAGCCGAGCGGTTTCTCCGGGCCTTGATGGTAAGGCTCCGCAGGCGCAGCCGTTGGAAAGCCTCCAGCTGCTGCGGCGAGGTGATCCTCGAAACGCGGGGCGGCGTTTGGTTGGCGTTCTTCGAGCCGGGGCTGAGCAGCAGCGTTTCAACAGAACACACAACAAACCAAAACAACCAAACAAACAAACACACAATCAAAACTGGAAATACACAAACAAGCAATCAAGCAAGCAACACGACAAGCAAACAATCATGCAACCGAGCGTTTCAACAGAACACATGAATCAAACTGCTATATTAGCTTTGCATTTACGTGCAAAGGTTACATCAACAAATCAGGCAGGTGGCTCGTTCTGCACGAAGGTGATACTGCTGAGATCTTGGAACTTGGCAAGGCGTGCTACCTCGTTGACCAGCACTCCGATCATGATGTACCTGTCCGGAAACCAAATGATTCAGGACGAAACCTTGGTGAAGAAGCACACATCCAGTCCCAAAAGCTTATCATACAGGGACGGGTCCTCCAAATGGAGGGGGGGGGGGGGAGGTTCGCTCTTAAATGCGACAATCCCGTTTTGCCCCCCTGCAAAGAACCGACAAAAAACCCAAAAAAGGGGGTCCTAAGACGATGCTTTGTTGGCTTCCCTGTTGATCTGTAGCAGAGGGAGCATCCAGAAATCTGCAATTTCATTCCATTCATGGTGAGTTACGAACTAATTCAGGCAAGGTGCTGGAAGCAAATGCTGGTGACTGCCGTCTGGTATTCCTCCGGAGTCAAAGCTCTGGACAGGTTTCGGTGTTCCTCTCCAAATTTCAAAACAAGGTGATCTCAAACCTGAAAGGGCTTCATCCTTTTGTTGGCGCCTTTTGGGGCCAACAGCTTGGGACAAGAATGGAGTTGTCCCTTCCAGCTCAAGTGTTTTTGCCGGGGTCCCTCTGTCCAATTTAAACAGCACGCCATCCGATAGAAGAACCACAGACAAGCAGCTGGTTACTTGGGCAGCTGGGATCTGGATAGAACAAAATGCAAAACTGTTTCGTTCAAAGCGCGATTTTTTTGCAAATCGGGGGGTTCACGTCCGCAAAGCCCCAAAACAGGGGTCCTGTGCCCCCCCCGGCGAAATGAACACCGCCTAGGCGTGGCCGAGGTGATGGAAAGAAAGAAGAAAGCCGTGAACAAGTGAATTGGAACCCAGGTAGCGCAAGTGTGTAGCAAAGAAATTCGAGGAGCCAATTAATGCCAACCCCAGAACCACAAAGTGGTTCTATCACTAGGGGGGTGTTCCCCCCCAAAAGTGATGAACCCCCACCAAAAAGGGATCTGTTTATCTGGGGTCAAGATTGACTGCTAAGATTTGCCCCTCGCGATCATGACCAAAAATAGCAAAAAAAACAGCCTAATTTTGGTAAGACATTCTATTCACGTTGATTTTAAGCCCAAAAACATGTTATTTTATTGACGTAGCCCCCCTCCTCAATTTTATATTTAAGGTAGGGGGATGTAGGGGGGGCTTTCAACTAGGCCAGGCCTATGCTTCGCCCGGTTCTGCCAGGGCGCAATCTTCTCCAAGGCATCCAGGCCTCGCCCGAAGATGGAGAGCTCGGAGGCCTGGCCCCTCTTCCTGACTGCATGTGGTATCAAAGGTGAGGCCATCTCCATGACTTTCAAGGGAGTTCCCTTGCTTACCCCTTAAAACTCCAAGGATTGGGGAAGTTAACCTTTTACAAACATATAGCCCATGTTACCCCCGAAAAGTTGAAAAGTTGTGTTTTTAAGAGGTAAGCTTGGTACAGAATGTGGCCCAAAAACCATGCCTTCCACAACCATCATTGCAAACGTTCTTTGGGGTGCCCTTGCTCTTCTTTTTTGGAGGGGGGGTCCCTGCTTTGGGGGGCCCTGACAAAGGTGGAAACATTGGGCAACGGATTGCGCATGATTACAAAGGTCTACCTCAAAGGATGCGGACTACCATCCATGTAGATTGAATCGGGGATGGGCTGAAATTATGTCGCAACAGAGCGCTGTCGAGACTCACATAGCCATGGCGAGTCATCAGGCACTGCTTCTTGAGCACATCCGCCCATTGCTCCTGGGTCGAGTTTCGATGCTCAAGTCTCCAACTAAACATCAATCTATAGTGATAGATTCCCTTTATATTAATCCAACCGGGAAACAGCAAGTATTCTTAAGCAAATTAATGAATTGAAGAGAAGGAACCAAGCACACACTTTTTGTGCTATCAAAGTAGTTGGTTCCCATGAGCGCACCTAGGGCATTCCCGTATCACAGAAGCAGCCCCATGTACCAATGTTTTAACCAACGTCCCTAAAGCATTCCCTAACAACCAATGGCTTCTCACAACACCCCTTGGGCTGTCTTGGCACAACCCTAAGGTGCATGGAACCAAAAAACCAATCATTCTTAGAGGAAACTACGCGTACTTTTCAGGGACTCCCTTTCTGAGTTCCATCGGAGGGGGGGGCACCCTGAGAAATTAGACAGACCCATAGAAAAGCAACTTCTTGAAGGCCAGGCTCCTTGATGGCCTGCAGGACCTCGTCGCTTGTCATGGACCCAGCCTTCTGCTCCTCGCTAGAATCAAGTCTCTCCACCGACTAAAATCGAATCAAAATCTCCCCTACCATAAGGGGGAGGGCGGGGGTCCCCCAATTCCAATTTCTAGTCTGCCCCATGAAGGGAAAATGGAACCATAAATCGAGATCTGCAGGGTCACCCCCCTCCCCCAATCAATCAAGGGGTGGGGATGCGCCAGAAACCCCAAGCAGGTTTCCGCCAAATATTTACCACGTCACTGCCAAACCTTCAGGTGGCAAAAGCAGAGCGCCTTTTGTAGCATTTGGCAGTGGCTCAAATTTAAAGAGCTAGGGTTACGCAGGTGTTGGTCCATGTTTCCACTCACCAGGGTTCCATTTTTGACCCACAGCCATTTGGGGAGGCTCTCCTCCACAATAGGCCCAGGTGAAACAGCCTCCTTTTGAACCCTCCGAACCACCCCAGAACCTATCCGGGCAGAGCAATAGCTTTCAGCTGCTGGGGAAAAAGCAAAACCAGGGGGCTTCACAAAAATTGAGGACCCTTTTTTGGATCGCTTCTAAAAAGCGGCAAGACGGCCGGCGTTAGGGCTGAAAACGGGCCCGAATTTTTACCACCCAGCCAAATTTGCGTATGCGTCAACATCGGGGACCGCTTCTTTTTTTGTCGACTTCAAAACAAGGTGAAAAGGGTACTCTCGAACAAAAAAGGCAGACCCCTTTCAGTCAGTAATTAAGGGAAACCAAGCTCTCTCCTGCGGCGCTTTCGGCAGCTCCTCCCGAAAGGAGGCCTTCGGACCTGGAGACGGGTCCGTTCAATGCGGGCCGGTGGCAAAAGCTTGGTTTAAGTTGCGAGGTGCGAGAGATGCAGATGGAAAACTGGAACCCCGAGAACAAAACATCCAACTGGTGGTTTTGGTTAAATAGAGCAGGTTCATTCCCTCACCCCTTAGTGAGCACCAGTAAGTGAAACAACCAAACTGTAGTCTTGAAGGGGATCCCAAAGGGAAGTTATGTGAAAGAATGCTTGGTACGTGTTAGGCTTGGCCCAACCAAACTACAGGCTGACTAAGCAACTTGGCCCCCTCCCACGTCTCCTAACTCCGTCGCCTGCGGCAAGGCCCGCGCTCGAGACAGCGAGGCTCGTGACGCCTTTTGCCGCCTCGGCAAAAGTGCGCGGGGCGGGCCAATCCCAATGGCTAAGCGGTTGAGCAAGTCAGGATCTCAAGCGCAGGGGATTTTGCGTACGGTGGATGCCCCAAAAAATTGCAAGTTGGGAACCAGGGGAAGCCTCTAAATTCTCGTGGCTTGTGGTGGATTTGCAAGATGTGTCGGGCATCCACCGACTACTTCACCGGGATTCCCTCGGTGAAGCCGGGAACTTGAAATCTCCGAAAACGCTGCCCTTCAGCGCCAGATCAGGCAGGCAAGCCAACGACCAACACCTGCGGAGTGGTTTCCCATTTGTAGAAGTTTTAGAAGACCAAGGGGTTCAACACCTGGGTTTGGAACATGCCCACCTCAGGCCGTCTCTCTGTAACAGCAGATAGTGTTTCTCGAAATAGGAAACGGCGCATGTCAACTAACATATGGCACGGGATTCCTGCTGACTTCCATTCAATACCAGCCAGAAGGGCTCCGAAAACCATGTGGGTTTGAGAACCACCCATAGGTCTGCCCACTGCTTGCTGTTTGCTATGCTTGGTGTGGTTGGTCCTTCTCCTCCACATGTTGCCTACCCTGAACCAGTCCAGACTTCAAACCCCTCGAACCCCCCGCCTCGCGGCTGGTCATGCGCTTGTGAGCCACCAAGTGGGGGCTGCGGGAGCTGAGGTGACGCCTCGCTCGCCGAAGCATTGGCCCGGAAGCCCAAGGTCGTCCCTTCAGAATACATCCGTGTTTTGCACGGGAGATTCAACCAAACCGCCCTCTCCCCCTCCCCCCCCCCCACAAAGGTGGCCCTGATGCTGCCGTTGCTCTCTTCCTTTTCTTGTCCGGTAGCCGGCCCCCAGCAAGGGAATCGCCCCAGGCCTCCCAACTGGGATTTACTGGGTTGAACAACCCACCCCCGTATTTCCGGTCGAAAGGTAACTTTGAGGAGCCCATTCCCTGATCCGTAGCAGGACAACAACAGAACAACTACCATGCGGCTTAAGTATTGAGGATTGAATGTTTTCGAACAACCAGCTAGCTGAAGCTTGCAAAGCTTTATGGCTAAATGAGTACTGGCAACTACTTTCACCCAACTGTAACCCTATTCGCAGCTCCAAGACCTTGTCTCCTACATTTATGGATCTAGGGCAACCTGTGTTCAGCTCAAGGCTCTAAGTTCTCATTCGCATGGAGATGCCCAAACTTCTCATTTACCACTAATCCGGGCTGGTCACAACCCCTCACCCCGTCGGACCCGGAAAAGGGGAACAACTACCCATAGCGCATAGGGACCAAGGACTGATGGGCCTTCCCAGACCGAGCCCGACGCGCCGTATGCAATCAGCGATTGATTTCCCGTTGGGCGCCGCTGCAAACGGCCGCCCAATGGGGTCAGGGGCGAATTTTAGAGGACGCCCTTTCAGTTTCACTCTCAAGTTGACAAAAGCCCGGAAAAATGGACAGAAAGGCATTGAACACGCAAAACACACCAACGCAGCAAGACATGATGGGCGAACCACTTCTTCATTACTGGTAGGATACCGTCCTACGGGCAGACTTGCACCCACGGCAATAGGTGATGACCAAGCCACACAGTTTGCCTATAATTGGGCATCAAAAGTAGTTGAAACCTCATGGGTTGGCTGACAATCTCCTTGTTCGCCGCTTTCCAAGCTGCGGTCAATAACATCTTCAAGCATCGCGCGCGTAAAAATTGAAGGGCGCCTGAGACATGGTTCGACGCTCCACATAGAAGGCAGCACTTGATGCCACAAGTGTTGCCAAAAGCGCTTCATTGCCTGCAAAAGGTGCCAACACGCGCCAACATTCGTTTGGGGGCTCTGCATCTTCAATTGCCAGAGGGACCACAGGCGAATGATTCGACTTTCTGGTGAACACCGGAAAAAGCTGGGCCAACAAAACCCAAACACGCACCCCACTCAGCGAACTTTGTTGGTAAGCTTCGGCTCACCCGCCCAAAGGACCTGACCATCAAAGGTTGGCCTTTGGGAACCTTGATGTGGACCAAAACTGGAAAACTAAAAGGTCCAAAAGGTTCGCATTGGGCAAAGTCTACCGGTCCAAGCATCGCACTAATTTCGGCTGCCTAGTTCCTCTCCAACTTGCTGGTTGTCCGCACCGGCCCCTCAAAAAAAAGCGAAGCGTGCCTGTCAAAGCTGGCGGAGCGGTCTATCTCCTGGCAAGGAACGTGATGCTCAAAACTCGCGTGGCCATGGTTCCATGAAACTGACATCATGTCAGAGCTGATGGGCTCCGGTGTTGTTTTCTTTTGGAATCACATATTTTGAAATCACGCCTGGGGGGTCAAGTTGTTTTGTTATTGAAATCACGCCTGGGGGTCTTGCTTTCTTGAAGTAATGCTGAAATCACGCCTGGAAAGCCCGGTGCATTCTGATTGAAATCCCTTTCCCTACCCTTTTAGCTTTCCGTTCAAACCACCAAAAAGGTTTTTGGGTACCCTCCCAAAAACCGAGGTGTTAGCCCATTTCTATCGTCTTTCTTGGTTTCCCGTTTCGGCCATCGCTCTTCCCCAACGGACCGCGGCTCGCTTGCTGCCTTCTCCTTCTCGGGTCTCGGCGCTTCAAGCGGAGCATCCGCAGCTTCCGGGGCCACGAGGGCGGCGGATGCTTTTGCGGTGGCAGGACTTGCGAGACCTCAACTGCTTTGCTCGGGACCAGTGGATCTCCATTGGTCGAGTTTAAAGCGGAACCTTCCCAGAAAAGTTAAAAACAGGGGCTGGGCAACTGGGGAAACTCGGTTGCTTTCTGCTCCCCTGCTGAAAGCTTAACTTTTAGTGGTTTAATTCGGAAAACCCATGAGTTGGCAAAAAGTTAAAGTCCTCACATCCAAGCAAAATGCACCAAAGCTTGGCTTTCTCTCCCTGGACCTGCAAAACGGCGACCGGCACCCTCCAAGGGTCGGTTGTCCATTCGTCCTCATGTGCCCTTGTTTGAGCCATTTTGGGTACCAATTGTCAACCCTTGGAAGGTGCTGGTAGATGCGTTGAATCCGCTTTGGCTTTCCTTGAAAAAACGCTCGAAAGTTGGAAGCTGAAAGCCGTCTGGCTTCCCTGAAATCAGCTTCTGTGAGGACTCGTGGTTTGGATATTAGGGGTGCTTCCCTATTCAGGCCAGCCAGAGGTTCAAGACCCCAAACCACCAACTCAGGGCTACCTGAAACAAGAAGCGTACAACAAAAACATGCCCATGTCGCCACGCCCCTTCTCGTGCCCATCCAGTTTCCATAAGCAAGAAAACAACCGCGGAAAGCAACAGAAGCGTTCCAACCTTCAATTGTAATCACTTCCCCCTATATATTAATAAAGGTCTCCCTAATAATAAATATTTGTTTCGGAAGTCCCAAATCCGGGAATACTACTTTAAGAATAGCCAATACTAAACCAATTCTAAAGTAGATATTTTCCTGCCCGCACTCAAATCCAGCCCCATTAGGGGGACTCCGGGGGCACGTTTCCTTTACTACGGCTGTACTACAAAGTTGCGACTTTCGAGCCAGAGCTCCGGGAGCACGTTTCCTTTACTACGGTTGTACTACAAAGTTACGACTTTCAAGCCAGAGCTCCGGGAGCACGTTTCCTTTACTACGGTTGTACTACAAAGTTGCGACTTTCGAGCCAGAGCTCCAGGAGCACGTTTCCTTTACTACGGCTGTACTACAAAGTTGCGACTTTCAAGCCAGAGCTCCGGGAGCACGTTTCCTTTACTACGGTTGTACGAGCCAGAGCTCCGGGAGTACGTTTCCTTTGAGACCGGCAGGCTGTGCCAACTAACTAATTAGCTACAGAGGCTGGTGGTCAAGGTCAAAGGGTACCTCAGAAATGTGCGTTTGAAGCGATTTTACGGAACGGAACAGGGGGACCACAGTTGCAAACAAGCCTACACAGAACAAGAAGTACCTCCAAAACCTGCCCTCCAGAACCAGGGGACCCCTAATAATAAAAGTTGTTTTGCAGGCCGGGTATTTTTTTTATTAGGGGGGGGGGGCGTCGTTTATTATTAGGGGGAAGGGATTACCTTCCAACAATTCTTCGAGTGCCTAATTATTGTGGGGCTCCCCTTTTTTTTTCGGGGGGCCCTTGACAACAATGTGACAAAGATATGCATGACCAAGTGGCTTTTATGGTCCACTTTGGCATTGTCCTTAGCCAGGCGCAACCGAAGGCTTCGGACGGGTGCATCTACCTGCTTTGTTTTTCATGAAGTACCGAGCTAAGGCTTCAAGCGAACGTCTTTACACTCCGGACATCTAGAAATTGGGTTGGATGCCGCGGACCTTTAGGTGTTCCAAAGCGTTCGCCCCCTGCCGAGCAGCCAAAATCTCCAGGGCCGGGCACAAGGACGCGATGTGGGCACGATACACCTCGGCCCGCCGAAAATTTTGGTATTGATGACTCCGTGGAAAAAGGGAAGCCTTTCCGTTGTTGATCCTTTTTGCTAGTTGGTTCTTGTTCTTTGTTTATGGGACCCATCAATTAAACATTGTTGAGTCAACCAACCAAATAGGGTCCTTCAACCTGCCCGGGATTTACTTCATCTAGCCCATGCAGAAAACAAAAATTGCGCAAAGGCCAAGCGAGGGATGGACCCTGGCCACAAAGCTCCCAATACAATTTGACCAAGGACCCTTCACAATGGGAGAGGCCGCAAGCCTCAAAAGTGGGTGCACATGAACCCCCAGCGAACTCCCTGTCCGTCGACTGGGGTCACTAATTAAATTTCATACCCAAATGACCGGCGCGTCTTTGTCCGACGCCGACGCTTTTTGGATTCGTCGACTCGGGCATCCACCTCGGCAGCTTCCACCACAGGGTTCCCGTCCATCGACACCTCCCGGAGGTTCGTCATGGAGCTCAGAGCACGGAGGCCCTGAGGCTCGTCTTGTTTGGGAATCGGCGTTCCTTTTTGGGTTTCCCCTTAAAGCCACAAACAAAGACGTACCCCTCAAAAAGAAGAGGACGTGGCTGCATTCCTTTTACCTGCAAACGTTGGAGTCCCGACAAGGAAATGAAACCAATGAAAATTGAAATTCCGCGGGTCGAATTCAGTCTCCGAATTCCGGGGGGTCGAATTCCGCCATAAGCACCCTGGAGGTTCTTTTCACACGGGCAGGCAACTCAAATTCAATCCCCCCCAGTTTCATTTTAGCTAGAGTCTAAACTGGGAACGTTGATTCTGTTTTGTTGAAACCAATTGCCCTGGACCCCGAATGGCCCTAGCTTAACAGAAAGTAATAATGCAATGCCAGATTATTCTTGACATTAAGTCTGCCAAGTGTACCCCAGAAAACAGACCGTTCCCTTCTCTCTTTTCCTCTTTCACCGACTCCTTTTGAGTTTGCGTCCAAAAGTTGGGGCTGCTGGGGAATCCGCCCTTCTCTGAAGGATTCCGGAAACTGACCGCTGGGCGTCGCATGCGTCGCGCCTCTTGGGTCACGATGTGATTGTGCGATGCGAAGAGCCTTTGGAGCTGAGGCACCTCACCCGCGCGTTCGCGCGTTCGATTCGAGGGCTCTGTCCCATGCCGTTCGTCAGGCAACCCCCGAATGGGATTGTCTCTCTTGCTTTTGGGGGGTTCCAAAAGAAGGTGGTCAAGGGCTTTCATGTGTCCCTTGAAACATATGCTGTCATTTGTTTCCCTTAGTGGTTTGGATTGGCGGTTTGATCTGAAGCCCTAGTTCTTGAAGAGGGTAAGATGGGAAAGCACGACTGCGCTGCTCAAATCGGGGATCCCTAATCCGAATGAATCTAATCTGGGAAGGATGAAGAAAAGCTATGGGAAAGCTGGCATTCGTCTTTGGTCCTTGGCTCTAAATGGAAACCCTTGCCAAAAAAAGCCGGGCAGCACCGGGGATTTGGGTTTCTCAAGAGGTGGTCCCAAAAATGTCCCAAATTTGTCTTCTCCGAGTTGCACGCTCCAACCCGCTCAGGCTGGTTATCGCGTTGCGCCGGATATTCCTCGCCATGGTAGGGGGATACAAGGCAGAGCATGCAATGGCATTTTCGCTGCCAAAAGCCGACATAACCACGGTTCACCAAAAAAGCCCTTTTGGGCTTGACATGTTTACAGCATAAACATAGTGACATAGTGTTTTAAAGGAGCACAAAAGCCAATGAACAACTGGATTTTCCTGGGAAAAGCCACAAAGGAAAAAGCCTTGTTCAGTCTGCAAGGCTCTCTGGGCGCCCGACCATGATCGGCTGTGTCTTTGTGGAAACCAGGGGGGAACCCTCGGCTAGTATGCTGGTACAAATTTGGAGAGAGGCACCAACAAATCCAAAACGGCCCCAGGGGGAACTGAAAGGCTCCTTGCATGCAGAGTTGTCTTCTTTGCCCAGCTCTCTTTTGAGGCTAACTCCATGCCACTTTTTGAGGTGCTCCTCACCCCCCCTAGCAGGGGTGCACTCCTGCTCAACAGCAGGAGGCATATTTATAAAAAGTATATGCACATAACAGGTTAGATATTCAAATATATTGTATGAGGCGATCTTTCTGCGGAGACAATTTCACCTGGCGCCACTAAACAACAGCTTATTTTCGTTGGAAAGTCGGGAAAATGTGTTTCCTAAAGTTCAGCTTGAAGCTCGAGCCAAAGAGCAAGCAAGGGTGTGTCTGTTCTACTCGGGGTTGGATTGAAAAGCAAACCAGAAGACCAAAGCAGCCGTACTGTGGATGCAGTAATATCCTGCGCCACTTGGAATGAAAGAAGCCCTAGTAATACTCACTTGCCCAAAGACCCAGAACTAAAAGGTTCACCTTGTGGCCATAACTAAAAAAGGATCCCAACATGGGAACACCAAAAGGTCAACAGGTCGGTTTTGGGAGGAGTGCAGTCGCGAGAAACCGGTTTAGCCGCGCGTCAGTTCCACCAGCGCGGACAAGCCCTCCAGCCCAGTGACTTGCTGGAGGAGGTTGCCCGCCAAATTCAGCACACCTGACTCTACAACTCTTGGTGACCCCGAAGCCTCCCCAAAAACGAGAAGCGAACCCTCTGTGCAATTGTAAAAGCAAAAAGACATTCAAACTTGGCAACCCTTGGTATGGGCTAAAGGGCTTGGACCGGCTGCGCTGCAGTTTGCTGACAGTAGATGGCACATTCATTTTACCGTGTTCCCCATATTCGGTTGGTTGGTTCTAGGGCCACTGTCCTTTCGAGAATAGGTGAAAGTACCCTGCCACCAACTAACATGGAAGCTAACAAGAAGCCCCTTTCCAAGAGGAAAGTAGTCCTTCTACAGGGGCCTGCGCACTTCCATGCCAGCGGGAGGGTAGATGGCACAATTATGACACTTCCCCTCAATTTCGGTTGGTTTAGTGTGCCATCTACCTTGATCCCTCTGTAAAACCTTATTGTGGTGCCATGAATGACACTGTCTAAGACGATACTGTGAGGAGAAGGGGTGCCAACATGGTGGGAATCACACTAGTGATAACAAAGCTGCTACTTACCATGCCCACAGCTACTTGATCGCTTCAAAGGATTTTTCTTGGCATCACACAAACTGAGACATTGGTTGCAACGCCATGCCCACCCACAGGAATGTGAAAGAGAGAGAGAGAGGAGAAAAAAATACATAAAGAGGAAACAAAAAGACACAGATATATACAAAGGCAAAGCGAAAGCGAAAGAGAAGGATAATAAAAGGAGCAGCAGAAACACTTGAAAGGAGTGGAGTTGAGTGAGTGAAGCATCCACGGCTGCTGTGTTACCCTGTGAGACCCTAGGTGCAACAAAAAAAAAAACGGCTGGTCACAAGGATCGCGGCTGCCTGCAGCCAAGCAGCGCAATTGTTTCAAGTGTCCTTAGTGGCATCTTTTCCGGGGGGCCTGCGAGAAAAAAACCGCAAGCCGCCAAAAAACCAAGACAACTCCAAATAGCTACTAAGACCACAGCCAACCACCAAAGCAACCAACAACTCCCCCAAAAAAGACTACCCTCCCTCCAACAATCATGGAAGCTGACAGGAGGGTTTTGGAAGACTACTTTCCTTTTGGGCAACCCCTTTGTCCACTTCCATGATTGTTGGAAAGAGGGTAACACCACGACCTCCACGAAACTCTCCAAGCCCATGGGGGGTCTGACCTGACAAATACTGGCAACAATTGGCAAAACCGCGGGTCGGATGTTCTGGATCTCCTTGATCCGGTTGCTGTGCAGGTCCAGCACGTCCAGCTTCTCCAAATTCCGCAGGTTTTCGAGGCGCTGGATCTGATTCTTGCCCAGCATCAAGACCTCAGCTCCGCGCGACGAGAACAAACACGTTTTGCGCCGATGCGGGTTGGGAATTTGTGATTTGTTGGTTCGAGTTCTCGGCATGATCTACAAGGGTGCCTTGATTTGCTGGGTCCTCCAGATTTGAGAGCTTCGAATGATGTTTTTCTGTTTCGTCTATTTTAGTAGGGGAACCCTCCACCAAAAAAGAAACGGTAAAAGGGCACTACTGGGGGACCTAGTCAAGGCACCCTTCAGTCGATCTCCCCCATTCCTTCCCAACCCTTCCCCAATGGGACCAACCCCCAACCCCACCCAACAAACTCAACCCCCCATCGATTTGCTGGGACCGGCAGGGAGGCCGACCCGTCCGACTGGTCCCCCCATTGCAGAACAAGCATACGGAGTTCAGCAACCTTCGAAGAGGTGATCTTCAAAACCACCAATCAAATTTCAAGGGACATACACCGTCCCTGTGATAGTTTCCGTCTTGCTCTTGCATGGGGTAAGTTGCCACTTGCCCGCCGAGCCTGAACAAAACAGGTTGGCAACATGTGGCACTTGCTTTGCCTTGCTCGGCTCGTGCGAATTGGCCTCAGGCAAGGGCAACAGGCTGAAACCACAAAGCTTGGTAGAATCAACTCCTGTACCAATCGTTGCGCGTGGTAAGAGTCCAAACTGTTTGCTTGACACTGCAATTGAACAGTTTAAAGTCCAGGAACTCAGGGAGTGTCAGACAGGAGATTCTGTGCCCAAACGACCCAGAAGTAAAAGGTTACCCTCCCGCCAACTAACATGGAAGTGCAAAAAGGCCCTTTCCAAGAGGAACGTAGTCTTTCTACAGGGTCTGTGCACTTCCATGTTAGCTGGTGGGATGCAAAGGGCAGGCCTTGGGCTCCATGCTGTTCATGGCTTAGGCCCCCTCTTTTTGGCTGGCTTTCCATGGGCTCTCTGCACCTCGAGTGACAATAAACAATTCGTCTTGACCCACAAAAAGGACCTTCACCGAAAAATAATGGCCTCTGATTCTGTTTCATGTTTGGGTGTGGCTGGTCAGCGTTGAACCCGACACCTTTTTGCATGTCTGATTCAGGTAAAACTAATGGTCCCAACCGTTGGTCTGGAAAAAATCGAGGCCTGCCAACTCGACATTTCCTTTCCGGGCGGACTGGCTGAACCCAAGTCCACGACTTTTGATCCGCCGCCAACATGGCATTTCCCCCGAACCAAGCACAGTACCCAAGACTCGGGCCAAGAGGCGCGAAGATTCTTGCACGAGTCCTGACGCGGCATGCAAGAAGGCAATATCAAGGCGTGGCTTTTGGAGGTATGGAGGTTAAACGAACTTATTCCAGGAGCACATACTGCGCAACAAGCTTTTTCTCTATTGGGTGGTATTATTGAACATGCATACCTCCAAACCCAACACCTGGAGATGCCCGTGATGCTGGCTCGGAGCCCCCCCTTCCCTCACAAACACTGAGTGCACCACGCCCTGAATTCTCGTCAGAACTAGAATGATTTCCGCTGAAACGCTGGTTCTCCCATCTGGGTCTTTCTCAAGATGGTGCACCTTGCTTTGTTTTTTTGGGGGGGGGTTCAAACAGAAACCAAAGGAAACCAACAAATCGAGGGCCCACTTTTTGAGAAACCATCTGACGGCAAGGATCCAAGCTCTCGATGTGCTGAATCTTGTTGTCGTAGAGGTCCAGAAATGCCAGATGAGGCAAGCCATCCAAATTCTCAATGCCTCGAAAGAGCATGGCTGGAAGCCCACAAATAGCTTTGTCTCAAAATAGCCTCCCACCCCAAAAACAAAACAGAGGTAACCAGGTGGCTTCTTTCCGGCTTTCCACTTAAACCACCCCCAACAAGGGTGACCTCAGCGAGAAAAAATACAAAAAAAACACGCTCAAATCAGCCAGAAAGGAAGGCGCTGATGACTTCAAGACACACCAAACCCAACGCACGTCTTGAGAAGAAACGACCCGGAAGCTGAGGCTCGGGTGATGGCATTGTTCTGGTAGTTCCTGAGCTCAGCTAAATCGCAGCTTTGTCTGCCCAGGAAAAAAAGAGTGATAAGCCGACATCCATGGGCAAATGACATGCTTGTTCAGCACCATGTTTAAATAACTGATGCGATCCCGCCAAGGGCAGTAAGATAATGGACATCCATGCCTCAGGATTCCTATGTCCAACATCAACCTTCAAAAGCAGTATAAAGCCCAAGATTTGCACAGGGGCCCAGCATGGGCCCAGCCACATCACATACAGCCAATCCTGCTTTCATTTCGCACTCACCGCAAATGTTGGGCAACACCTGGCCACCTATGAGGCACTCCCGTCCCACTGGATTTTCAACACCACAGACTGACAATCCACAAGAAAAATAATAATAAACCAAAAACAAAAATATAAATACACGTCCAGTCTTTCTCTCTCTCTCTCTCTCTGTCTCTCTCTCCCTCTCTCCCCCCCTCTCTCTCTCTCTCTCTCTCTCTCTCCCTCTCTCTCTCTCTCTCTCTCTCTCTCTTTCTCTCTCTCTTTCTCTATCTCTCTCTCTCTCTCTCTGGAAACGAGTTCCCATGCAAGAGGGGGGGGAGGCGAAAGCAGGGACACGCTTTTTCGGTATTTTGAAGGGAACTCCTGTGAAACTCTGAACCCCTTCCCCAAGTTGGAAAGCACTTGCTTGATCGATTCTTCCATTTGGTTGAGACCTCTGGGAACAAAACATATTTCCAGTAGTGATAAATGCCTTTTAGAACCAACAAGGGAAAACAAAACATATTCTTAAGCAAATGGAAGGATTTGGTCGGGACACCCAGTATCAAAAAGACTTGTCTAGAATCATGTGTTCTTTCGTCTGATTGTGACACATTCTGCCATATTTAGTCTGCCCATGTCGACCCTGAGATGCACAAGGTGCTTGGCCCAAAGGAAAAGGCTCTGATACTCCCCTGGAGGCCAAACAAGATGGAACCCAGAGATGGGGGTGCTTTCCTGAGGAGGTTCCCCTAGAAAAAATGCTCCGAGGAGGTTCCCCTAAAAAAATATGCTTCCTAAGGAGGTCCCCCTTTCCTAAGGGGGTTCCTAAAAAAATCCCCTTTTGGGATTTCAGGTTCGTCTGCAGGGGGAGTACCTCAGAGAACAGACCTAGCTAGACATCCGAGGCTCAGCAAGCGCAGCATGCCCTCCTCTTCCAGCACGGGGCAGCGGCCTAGCCTCATTTGGGTGGCTCGTTTCTTTGTTTGCGGGTAGCCTGCTTTAAACGGCAACCAGAATGAAAACCACCAGGTTGGGGGTGGGGTGTCCCCTTAAAAACACACCCACATGTGAGCAGCGGCATAGCTGCAACCAGCCCGGAGAATTAGCAACACCGGGTTGCTTACTTAAGTGATACATCCGCCTGCTTCACCAGGGGATCCCTCCTGCTTCACCAGGGGATCCTTTAAAAAAAGCGAGCAAAGGCGGTGCGTTTCACAGAACCCCCCCCCTCCAAGGGTCATTCAAGTTGCTGGCGCCGGTCCAGGTGCAAGTGCTCCGGCGACCGCCGTCGCGCCTCGACGAGTCGACTTTGGAAGGGAAACCAACTCGCCACTCCGCCTTTGTCTGGTGAATATAGTAGTTGCAGGCATGGGTTTTGTGGGCTTGGATGCTTCTTGCGCCACGAATATAAGAACAAAGAGTCAAAAACAAAAACTGGCCTTCCCAAACCCCCCAAGACGTCAAGAACTGGCCTTCCCAAACCCAAAAAGTCAAATGGCCTTCCCGGACCCAAAACGTCAACAAATGGCCTTCCCAAACCCAAAAAGTGACTAAAGCTCCATGAGCTCAGGAAGGGCCAGGATGCTTGGCTCGCCGGATCGATTCGACGGAGTCGCCTGGGCAGAGCGCCGGGCTGCCAGGCCCGTGCTGCGCATGGCAATGGCCAGGCCCTGAGCACGGGAAGCCGTCCGAAACGAAAATCGACCCCGGCCAGTGCATTTCTCGTTCCATTTTCTCTCCCCCTGGAAAACCCGGTATCAAAACCCGGTATCAAAATGGTCCAAGCCCAGAACCACGCTTCAAGAATTAAGAAGGCGGCCGCAACTATTTATGGTTGGGATTGTCCCTCACTACCGTTCATATCCCCGGGTTGTGATTGTGGCTCATGTCTCGCATTTTTTGCCAGGAAAAACGTCACCAAGGCAGGGTCTACGGGTTTGAAACCAACATCTAGGGAACACAGGTGCATTTGTGTTGTTTACGTGAACCGAGCTTCCCTGCAATTATTGTTGTTAACGTCACCCCCAAGCTCACCTATGGGTCAAAAAGGCGTTAGAAACTCGGGGAAATCTGGTTCCACGCAATTGTTTTCACCCGGGAAAAACGTCACTCTCAAGCTCACCTGGGCATGGGTGAAAGTTCAACCACCAGGAATTGGACCGCAGGTTTCAGTCCTTGTTTCCATTTGCCAGGGCAACCCATTTTGAGAATTGCTATTCTTTAAACCCACACCCACCTTTCTGGTTCCCGGTGCATTTTGCACCTGGAAGCACGTCAAGGCAAGATCTATGGGTGAAGAAGGTGATGGTTAGAACCCAAAAATCCAGAATCCCAGTATTGTGGCTTCATCCATGCCAACTGCTCCTGAAAAAAGATCCGGAACCCACAAAGCCATTGATCTGCGGGAGTGCTCTTTCCCTGTTTGTCCAAGAACGAGTCTAGAACTTGGGGCTGGGAAGGTCCCCAGCCATAGGGCAGAGCTGGACGTCGGTTTCGGGCCGGGTCCGCTCCGAAAAGCTGAATTTCTTCCAGGGGGATTGGAGCCCAGTGGCCCCAAGCCTTCCAAAGAGCTTCAAGCCCGAAAAGCCCGCCATGTCTTTTCTCGGTGGGGACCCGGACACCAAAGCCTCACCTCTGGATCTGCACTAGAAATGGATCAAGCAAAAGCCAGAAGGTCAAAAGGTCGGCTTGGGGCAAGCGAGTTCTAGAAATTTGCAACTGGGGGTGCCGACCCCTTTTGTGGGGTCCCTTGGCAATTTGCAGGGCGTGGCGGCGTACCAAAAAGAAAACGTCCAATGACACATTCTTCACTTGACGGGGGATAACAACTCGAAACAAGAGGTTTCTGGCATCACAAAAGTGGACAAACATTGTCTCATTCCCACAATCCTTACGTCCCTTAAGGTGCACATCTTGCGAAGTGTTCACAATTCCCTTTGTCCGTGGCTTCCCTTTAAACCACCATGTAGGGATATCATTTTGAGGATGTCTCCTCACTGGACCCTGGAATCCTTACTGGACCCCCCCTGGGTGACCCGGTGCTTTGCGCCGTATGCGAGGCTCCGCAGTGTGCTCGAGGTGTTGTGCGCGGCAAAGCTGGCACAAACGCTCGAACTCCTCATCCCTGCCAGCCTCGCGGTGCCCAGCACTTGGATAGAAACCCATGATCCCAACTCCCCCCCGTGTGCGCGTGTCGCGTGTGTCGCGTGGGCGAGGCTGGATCCATGTGAGAGGCCCCAAAATTTCAAACGCCCGACGCAGGATTGCCCCGGAGTGCAGCGCAAAGAGCCCGGATCCACAGATGACCACCCGTAGCACGTATGCTCCATGGTGTGCATTGGAAAAAGTTGGAACATTCCTCGGGGCTTTGCAGTCTGCCGTACTTTTTTCTCGGGACTTAGCAGCAAGTGCCCCCATGCCACCTTCAAAGGACCAACTCCAAACCACCAATTGGGGGAAGGCTGATCAAAACAGCCCTAGAACCTCTAACTCTGAAGAGTGAGGTTGTCCCACCCTCACGTAATGGCACAGCCCAAGATACCGGGCTTCGAGGGTGTTGGGCCAAGGGGGCTAAGAGAGTGTCAGACACGGAAGGCAGTGCACCAGTAAGCGCACGGCTTTCCCGAGGATGGCTCGCACCAGCGAAGAAAGGGCATGTCGTGAGGCCCTGAGTAGTGAGACGTTGAAGCCTGGTCTGGGAGGTCAGCCAACTGCTAGGGAGTCTTTGTGGAGATCGTGGCTCCCTGATGAATAGGCAACACAGTGCTGTGCGAAAAGCCCGGAAACGTGTACTCCATCCACTGGCCACCAAGGCAAAATGTACCTTTTGTGGTAGTTGATGCTCAAGGGAAAACAACCTTTCCCAGCAAAAATAAAAGAACAAACCATTGGATTCCTGGGTTGCTTTTGGTGCCACCCTTGATTTGCTGTTCCAGGGTGATGGTAGCATCTCCGAAAGTCGCTTTTCATTTTCTCCCAGCCTCGCCCATTGAGCGATGTCGTCCTACGGCAGCACACCTTGCATGGAGGCGGGTAGCTGGATGTAGAAACATGCCGCGCCATCCTGTGGATGGACGAAACCCATGGAAATCGTAGCACTGTTGGTTGGCATTTACGTTGGGGAATCATCCCAGGGTTCCTTGGGTGCGAGAAGCAGCTTTCGTCCACAGTACCATTGCAGGGCCCATTTCTTGGTGCCTGGGTCTACGGAAATCGCCACAGGGCGAGGGCGCAGCATTTTCAACCTCTCTACTCTTAGGTGTGGTAGCAAAAAAACTTTGTTTTTTGCAGACGCCCAGTAAAAATGAACAGAACCAAAAAGACAAAAAACCAAAAAACATGCCAAGAACGGTGAAGTCAAGTATGCCCTCCTCCCGATGCCATGTTGTGACAGAGGGGTCTCTTCAGGCAACAACCTTAGAGGTATGCCCCGAATCCTTCTTTCGGGAGGAAGCACGCTTTTGCTGGTAAGATGAAAGGGGAAATCAAGGACAAGAATCGCGGGGTTGATTTCCCATTCCGCAGTTGGCCGGCACCCAAAACACCAAAACTATTTTGGGTGATAGGGAGTCTGTGACAAATTTTCAGAAATCGCTCATGAACTTGTTGGCATTCAGGGGAATTCAAGACATACTGTGGATGGACGAAATCCTGCACCACTTAAGAAACCCTGGATCGATGAGTCGCCTGCAAATGTCAACCATGGTTTCAAAGTGGTGCAGAATTTCGTCCATCCACAGTATAGATCATACAAATAGCGCCCGATAAAGCTTCTGCCCACGCCTCAAGCCGCAGGCCGCCTATCGGCTCAAATTCAAATGCCCGCCGATGGCATTGGGCGCACGACTCGGCCCATCTCACATCCATCGAAGGCTCGATGGCTCCCCCTCTCAAAGGTCCCAAGTTCTGCTTGTCTGAGGCTATGAACCCAAATGACGTAACCAAGGGGTCTATTCGCATTCACACCCATGTAGGCTTCTGGACTTTTGTGGGGGGGGTTCTCGAAATGGTGGACCCACTTTGTTTCGTATTTCAAGGAAAGCAAAAGAACACCGACCATGTTTGGCGAGCCCCATTTTGAGGACCTCGCCTGTTCGTGTTTAAGAGATACATAAGGAAAAAGGCTTGCAAGCAACCATGCTCATCATGCTGCACACATTCATCTCAATGATCCTCCTTCTTGGCATGCTGGAAGCCACGCGACGGCCTTTCTCTGGGTGAATGCAGTTGGGCGCCAGTCCGCCCGGCTTTCACATGCATCTATCACCTCATCATCCCCTTACCCGTCAACAGTTGATGGGACCCACCTCATGTCGGTGGATCCATGGGAGGGTGAAACCACGAAAAAGCTGCGCCACCTTCTGCAACGCTGTGCCAGCATGGAGTTGACCACATATGGCTGTGGCTCCAATAACCGGTACCAAAATGGAAGCCTGGTAAGTGGAAACATGGACCAAAACCTGCGGTTTGCCCCTCCTGCTTAATTTTGAGCCACACCTATTATATGTACAACTGCGAAAGCAAAAAGGCATTTGAAGCAGGTGCTTGAAGAACCCCGGCATTGGAGGTCCCCAGTTTGTAGTGCTGAGTGAAGCTCTCCACACTCACGGAGAGATGATCTAGAATCGAATGCAACTCCACACTAAAATGGACAGTCCAAGTAGGCCACCCTGCGAGCTTCTGTGGGATTGCGTGCGGAACCCGATTGGCGGCAAAGCAATAACCGGATTCGACATAACCCCTATGGCTGGAACCTGCGGAAACGGATTCCAACACTGACGTTTCCCACTCCAGCCCTCTGTTTGGTGACAAACAGGAGGCTTAAAGCCAGCAACCCCCCCCAAAAAAAAAAACATGGAGGAATAGCCCCGCACCCAAACCTCTCGGCGGCTTGGCGTGGGATGTAGGCTATCTTCTTAGGAAAGTGAGTCACAACTCGTCCAAGTGATGCTCGAAATTAGAGAGAAACATGCCGTGGATGAACCAAATGCTGCAGCTGGGGTGGGTAAAAGCCCTGTAAGCCTCCCGAAAAAAGCCTGCAATCGAGGGGACGGGGGAGGGAGCCCAATTAGCTCGTGGTAAGCCCTTAACTTGGTTGCTCTTGACCCCCCTGCAAAAAGCGAATAACTTTTGGGGGGTTTAGTGGAAAACACAACTTGATTTCAACCAACAAGTTGAAGTCTAAAGATCCACCCCAATAGCAGTCAAGTTCATAAGGCCTTATTTGGGGCCTCTCGCTCACGCCAATTGGTCTCTCGATGAAGGCTTAGCAGCCTGGAAGTGGATTGCCTTCCCCAGGCCCCATGAAATAAATACCCGGAGTCTCCTTCTGACCCATTAAAAATGGGTCAATGACCCCATTATTTGGGGTAATGACCCACCATTTTTTCAGGGTCATGGAGACTCCAGGTACTGGGAGAACGGCTCGTTGAAGGGAAGTTGTGGGACAAAAGGGGGTCATTACCTCACTTCCTGAGTTCATGAACTTGAATCTCTCTGGGAAGACCATTTTAGTGGTAAATCTAAAGTTGGGACTGTTTTTGGGCAATCCACTCAGCAAATAAGTTATATTTCTAGGCAACCATTCTTTCCAGGAATCCTTCTTTCAGGAAACCATCTTAAAGTCCCAGGGGAAACAGCGAACGGTTTTTGAAAAGAACGATGGTTGAAAAGAATGGGGAATCATCCCCTAGAATGTCTGTTTCTATGGGTATCAAGAAATTGGGGTTGTCTCCCTTGAACCTGCCACTTAGGGGGTGACTTTGACAATGGTAAAATACTTGGGCCAGTCAAACTCCACCCGATTCGATGGGCGCCGGGAATTCCGACTTCCGACTTCCGATCTTCGCCTCCGCCCCCATGCCAGCCGCCAGGTGGCCCAAGAAGGCCATCTCAGCACCCTCGGCTCCAAAGACCGCCCAGGCCGATAAGTTGACCACCATGGGTGTCTTAAACTGAAGGACCCCCCAAAAAAAAGGCGGCGAAGGTTGGATCAACCACTGAAATTGTTTCTTGGTTGCTGGCGGTTGACCCCTCTGCCACAAGTTGATCACTCTTTGGGTTTAATTCGGAAAACCTCCTTGATTTCAACCAAAAAGCTGAAGTCTAAAGATCCGTTACCGAATAGCAGTTAAGAACGGGTGTCTCAAACTGAGGGCAAGTGGTGGTTTCCCTTTGGCCGTCGAACATCCCAAGGCAACCCGCAAAGAAGAAGAGCACTCTATATAGTTGATATCCCCAGGAATAGTATGGCCTAAGTAGGCTATCCTGTATGGCAAACTTCGTTGGGACTTATTCAAAGGGTTTTTGTATTACCCTGGGAATACACGCACTGGGTATTGACCCCATTTAACGGCACATTTCCGGACAAAACCGTGTTACTTTGAACCATTCTGGGTCATTTCCCAAGGGTGTAATCCCAGGGTGTAATAGAAAAACCCTCAGACTTGTACACTGGGAATATTCAACGCTAGGTCATGTGGGGGTCATCCACCCTATGCCATGGACACCAAACCTCGACCCCTGATTCACCACGACACCCCCACTTTCGAGTGATGTCTTTTCCGGGATGCCTTTTTCCAGGGAGGGGGGTAGGAGGAATCAGGGAATTACTTCATACATCTAGACCGAACTTGAGACGAGCAACTCCTCCAGTGCAGCCGAAGATGCGTCGGGAGCGACTTGCGTCTTCAGAAGCTCGTATGTAGAGATGTACACCTCGCACTTCATTCATGCGTCTCGGAAGGCCGGCATCCGTTCAGCGCTGCAATCATCCCACTTGTCCGTTATGGGAGGTGTACGCCCTTTGGTTCTGGTTAGAACGGGAGAAGGCAACATGTATGTGCAAAATTGGCCGATCAAGAGGGGGTTGAGTTCTATTGGTCAGAATGGGCCTACGCGAAACATCAAAAGGGTGCAAGCCCAATTAGAACGCCGTGGGCCCACAAGTGCTCAGCAGAGCACTTCTCGGCAGGTAAACCGGTAAACCCATGAAAACAAAGGCGACGCCCCCTAGTAAATGGGACAAACCTTCAAACCATCCAAGAAAATTACTACAAAACACAAAACAAACAAAGGGGGAAACAACAACCAGCAAACAAGAAAACAGGCCAGGGCACGCAAGCGCCCGGCGCTCCCACCACCGAGACGATGCCGAACCTGACTTGCGTGTGTCCGGGACCCAAATAATACACCTGGACCCTCCAGTTCCCAATAAAAAGTGTGCTCTATAGGCCCAAAATTTGGGGGTGAATTCCCGTGCTCGTGGCCAGTTGGGTCTGTCGGGAAAATGGAGCCATGGAGATCTTCAGGTCGAAATCCCCTCTCCCCCATGTCCGTTTTTGGGGAGGCCACAAATCCACCTCACAGAAGCCAGGAAGAAGTCTACAATTCATAGAACAAACTGGGACATTCGGCTTGGCAACCCAACAAAACGCAACAAAACCCTGGGATGTTCGGCTTGTGACCCAAAGGAACTAAGGGTAATTTCCCAACATTGGCCATAGGTGTTCTTGGACAATGAGCCATTTCCCCACGTGAAGCGTAGATCCAACCCCCAAGAAGGCACCAAAGATCTCGCCGGAGCGGCTATGGGAAAAGGCTCCCTCTTGGCCTCTCTGGCTGCTTCCAAGCTCTCGGTCGCCGAATGCTTTGAGTATACATGGGTGTAGAAAAACTCCTTTTATAATTGGAGGTTGCTGGATTTGTAACTCGATGCGTTGCAAAACCACTCGGTGGCCAAGCAACCGCAAGAAACCACATGGGCTGGTCTTGCTTAATCGTGGAACCCTCGTTTGGTTGATTTTTAAAGGAAACCAAACGGAAAACCACTCTGATGTTGTGCTAGTATTTGAAAAAAGAATGGGGGAGGGGTAGATCCCCTGAAGAAAAAGAAGCCCCAAATGGAAAACCCACAAGACGTGCACTCTGAAAAGGGTGGGATTCTGGGACGTGCCTAAGCTGCAGGCCCGCACCACTGAAGGCGGCTGCC